GGCGCAACATCACTGACCCTCATGTGGGATCCAAACTGGCAGTCCTGCTGCTCAGAGCTCGCGCTCCCAAGCCAGCTCTTAACCAACGAGCCACTCGGCCAGCCCACTCTATGTGAATTTGACACAGTCTTTTCCCTTTGTGGACCTCAGGTTTTCCATCTGAAAATGAGCAGCTCAGAACAAAAGATTCCCACCTGATCTTTCTGTTTACATATTCTGTGCTTGTGGGAATCATAATTACTAAATTGTGGTTGGGATAGCAACAGAAATCAGAGCTATTTGATGTATCATTTAGCAAGACATCTGGGATGATAACATTTGTTCTAAAGTCTCCTCACAAAAGCCAATCAAAGATTTCTTTCTGAAAATTGTCTTAGAAATAAAATTTCCCACATAATTCCCATCCTATGAGGTATGGCTCTCCCTACAAGAAACATTGATAAACTAGGGTACCGTATTCATAATTTCAGCTTGATTTAGAGTGTTGAGATAAACATATATACAAGAGTGTGAGAGTCCATTGGTAGTCACCACCTGTATTTCCCTCCACTGGAAAACCTCTGCGCACCCCACAAACAGTCAAGTGGGGACATTTATGTCTCCCAAATAGCTTTTGTAGGACTGTCTGAAAAGGGTTTTGTTGAACAACATGGAGGAGCAAGGACTGTTTGTGGACTTTGAACTATAATATACCCAGAAGCAAATTGTAGTAGCTACATTAGATACTAGCTGTATTACTTTGGGTCGTGTCTTAAATTTTATCTTAGTTTATTTTCCATATCTTTTAAATGGATATATTTAATATAACTGCTTTAAATATAGGTATATGTTCAAAGATCATGTAGTAAAGTGCCTAGAATGGTGTATGGGACATATTTTTGCACTCATAAATATTAATGCCTAATCCTGAACCTGAAATTAGGAAAAGAGACACTGTTCCAACTTCTCAGAAGCTTTTGACAAAATTCACCTCTCCCTTGTTATTTCTGGCTGGAGAAAATGCATATGGGACCCTGGAAGAGACCAGGGAAGGTCATTCCTAGTAGCTTTCACATAGAATATTTCCAGGTAAATGAAAATGCAACAAATATGTGTTACAAGTTGATAATGTCTTAGTCCTAAAAAGGCAGAGAAGTAGATTGAGAGAGGCTATAGGAAAAAGGGTATCAGATGAGCTTTGGGAAACCTATAAAAACATAACTCTTCTTTTTCAGCAATGAGAAATACTTTAACACATAATATCAGCCTATTAGAAATGAACTGCTAGAAAAACAGAGTGCAAGAGCCTCACTCTGTAACAAACAAAAGGAGAAGAGAGATAATCAGGGCAGTCTTAGGCTCTAACAATATTAGCTGGGCCAAAATGTGCCCCAGTAGAATGACTCATTTCCTGTTCTCAACTTTGGGGTCCAGATAACATTTTTTGGTTAGATTCTGGCCTGTGCTTCTGCGAGGCCTTGGTCATGGGGATAGATTTTGGCTGCTCAGAGGAAAGTTGGCAGTTTACTCTATGTGAGAAAGTTAGGAAGAGTTTTTTTTACATGGTATAGTAGTTTCCAGTGACTTTTCTTTTTTACGAGACAAACATCCTAGAATAGACAACAATGTCTCCAGCCACATCTTTTGTCATTT